GGTGCACCTTCGGGCAGCTGTGACGTGACGGCCTGTACTAACTGGTACGTCAGGTGACATTTTTCATTTAGAACAACAGGAACCAGTGGGGATTTACAGCCAAGGTTCACGATAGGGTCAGTGGGTGGAAAGTTACTGAGAGGAGGGGGGGTCGAGGGGTTTCTCGGCAGGAAAACCTAGCAGAATTCCTGCTGGAGGCAGGCCAGGGTGGCCTCAGACCACCTGGGGGACGGCGGGGTATGAGAAACTGGTTAGACATTGGCGGTTACCAGACATGCAGGATTGGGGGAGCAGTTCTTGCTAAGACTGGAAAATGCAGAGACATCACAGAAGTCCCGAAGTGAGTGCCTAGCTGGGAAAGAGTTAAGAGGGACTCCCTGGTCGTTCAGTGGGTAAGATTGTGCTCCCAGTGTAGGGTTCCATTCCTCGTCAGGGGCTAGGTCCCATATGCTGCAGCTAAGCCCAAGTGCTGCAAGGAAGACCCAGTGCAGCCAAAATTAAATAGAATGTGGAATAGAATTTTTAAAAAAACAGTTCAGGGAGTACAGTCTGGTCTAGGAGAGAATCTTTGTCAGTATGCTCTGCCTGGTAGTAACAAAAGTCTTTTTTAAAAAAAAAATCTTTTGGGGGCTTTCCAGGGGGCTCAGTGGTAAATCTGCCTGACAGTGCAGGAGACAGGTTCAATTCGTGGTCTGGAAAGAGTCCACATCCTGAGGGGCAGCTCCGCCTGGGCACAACTTCTTAGCCTGGGCTCTGAAACCCACAGGGAGAGAAGCCGCCACAACGAGAAGCCCAGCACCACAGCTAGAGCGTATCCTCCGCTCGCCACAACTAGCGAGAAGCCCTCGCAGCAACGAAGACCCACACAGGAAAACACATATATTTGAAAGTCACTGAGTTTTTAGAAAACCTCTTTTGGCTGTACCACATGGCATGTGGGATCTTAGTTCCCTGACCAGGGATGGAACCCACGTCTCCTGCATTGGAAGTGCGGAGTCTTAACCACTGGACCTCTAGGGAACTCCCTTAGGCCTTTGAACTCCTTTAGGTGGTAGCAGGAGCCTCTACCCTCAAAAGCCCTTATGGGCTAGACTTCCACGGCCAAGGGAATGATGATAGCTGATATTTATTTGTCACTTAGTGTGTGCCAGAGTTGTGCTAAGTGCTTTCCTATAGTAACATGTTTAATCTTAACCCCACTAAATGGATACATTATCATCCCTGTTGTATAGACAGTATGTTCAGAACTTGCCCAAGGTCACAAAGCTGATAAGGGCGGGATCTGGGCTTCCGAACTTTACCCTTGATTACTGGTCTCACGATGCACACGCCCAGGTGAAGGGCAAGAGCAGGGGCACTGCTGTCCTGCAGCAGAATAATTTCTGGTCCCCCCAGGGGTCTGAGAGCACCCCCCCCCCACCACCACGGCGCACATCTCTCTGAGCTGAAGTGGTGTTGGCAGAGGAGGGGTCATGTGCTGACCCTGCAGTAATAAGAGCCTTGAGCCTCTCCCTGAAGAGACGAACACCCCCTCAGAAGCCTTTCCGGCTTCCTGACAGGCCTGTGGAGGCAGATTCCCCGGCCTGGTCTGTCCACATCACTTAACCCTTTAGGAAGCCCTGTTGTCATGTCCAACTCTCCGCGAGTCCATGGACTGTAGCCCACTAGACTTCTCGGTCCATGGGATTTCCCAGGCAAGAATACTGCAGTGAGTTGTCATTTCCTCCTCCAGGGGATCTTCCTGACTCAGGGATTGAAACTGTGTCTTCTGCCTTAGCAGGCAGATTCTTTACCGCTGAACCACTTGGGAAGCCCTAGGAAACTTTGGCACCCTCCTATCCTTAACTGCTTTTTCTCAGGGTTTAAAAACTCCGTGCACAATCCAAGTTATGTCAGATGAAGCATGCTCCTTGCACAGTGATTTCTGGCGGCATGAAAGAAAAAGGAATGTCTGCAAAACATGATCAAGCTAGACATAAAAGTCAAGAGAAACCTTGTATTTTGAGCTTTTTTGCAGCCAGTTCACCGAGGGAAAGATTAGGAGTTTCGTGGTTCTGATATTCAAAAGAAGAGGCATACAGTTTCTCAGGAGGATCTAGGTTTTTGCGGCTCTAAATTTAAACACCTGTCCATCCACACATGCCTCAAAAGCCAATTGCCACTGTATTGCCATGTGAAACCTGTAAAAGTAGGTTCATTTACTTTTATTTACCAATTCATGCATTCTCTCTATGTAGGCAAATAGGTACAAGAAATCTGACCCCTCCCGAAGAAACCCCACCCAAAACAAAACAAAACCCCCCAAGTCAGGAATAAGCTTATCGCTTTTATTAAAGAGATGCTGAAGAACAAAGTAGATAGTTTTTTAAGTCTCTGTTGAATTTGTTGTTATATTGCTTCTGTTTTATGTGTTGGATTTTTGGCTGTGAGGCTTGTGGGACCTTAGCTTCCTGACCAGGGATGGAACCCACAGCCCTTGTGTTGGAAGGTGAACTCTTATTTTCACTGGACTGCCAGGGAAGTCCCCAAACTGGATAATGTTTTTATGATGGTGTTCTTTGGTTTAGATCTTTGGTAAAGACTGAGTATGAAGGACACATGAGGTGAGATGCCGTCCCAGACTGAGGTGATGGCCGTCGGGGGTGGGGGGGCTTCCTGGTGGGCTGAGTGGGAGTGTGAGCAGAATTTACACACTTACAATATCGGACCAGGAGGTCACCACCTGCCCCCGACTACCTGAGTGCAAGATGAGACTTGAACTGGAAAGAAAGATCCCTTAAGTGAATTCACTAAAAATGGGAGTAACATAGTAATGATGTCAATGGTGGGGCAAAAGAGTTTGAGAATTTATCTTGAAAAAAAAAAAGGAGGGGGAGTATTTTGAATTTATCTTGTATTCAAGGGAATTTAGGTTCTTAATGCAATGATAAGTTGTAGAACCAATGAAGGATTAATCAGGTGTTGTTTTGGCAGGTAATAATTTTCCAATAAAGTGTATGCTGGCTCTCCATGTTCTCCTTCACAGCGTGTATGATTTTCTCAGCTCTCTCATAAAAAGGTCAGCTGTGCTGAGATGTATAAGCTCGCCATCCATCTCCCCAGGAGCCCCCCCTAGCCCCTTGCCGTCCACGTCGCTCAGTGGGAGCCCCAGCGCGATGCCAGCTTCGTCAGTCTCCTGGTCCTCGGCTGCACAGTCAGGCCCTCCGGCCCTTGCCAGTGGCTTTGGGCCAGGTCTGAACATCCCTCAGCTTTTTTTATGGACTTTCTGAAATCTTACATGTTTTGCAAGATTTACAATCTGACTTGATCTGCACCGCACTTCCACAGCCTCACAACATGACTCCCAGGGCGTTCAGTGTTGGGGGTGTGTGTGTGTGAGAGAGAGAGAGAGGGACAGAGAAAGAGGCGGAGAGAAGTAGATTCTGGAGCTACGCAGTGAGGGACGCCTGAGTGGAGCCCGATTACGCAAATAGTCAGTCCGTTCATGAAACTCCTTGTGTGATGACCATGTCTCTTCCTCTGCGGCCTCCGGACCGCAGGCCCCCAGGCGGCCGAAACCTGGGCCAGCAGGACTTCAGGCATCGCGGTCTTGCAACAGGCAAGGCATGGCCAGGGTTTGCCTCGGTCTTGCAGAGGCAACATCCCTCTAAATTTTTATGAGACGCGGCAGTTAGTGGAACCCCTTTACTTATTTATTTGGCTGCACCTCCTGGCTTTCAGGATCTCACTTCCCTGACCAGCAGTTGAACATGGGCCGCAGCAGTGAAAACAGTACTAACCACTGGACCACCAGGGAAGTCCCAGAACCACTTTATTTGTATAAATGATGCTCGCTCTCACTTCTCTTGGCCAGTCTGGGTCACAGCCATTGGACATTACATTTGTAATGCATGCCTGAGACACAGCCGTCACATACAGATATTTTATTACATTTAGATCATAGAAAGCTTCCAGTGAGTGAGAAACCTGCATCCATTCAGATTTTTTCAAGTGTAGGTGGCAGACACAGATGTGAAACCATCTTCTGCCCAAAAGGAGAACAGACGGGTTTGTACAGAGAAGACCAGAGCCCTGACATCTCCCTCTGCCTCTCAGTTCTGCAGGTGCATGGGCTGTCCCAGTGCTGCGGCGAAACCACCAGCCTCCACACCTCAGCAGCTTCCCTTTCCTTAGGTCCCCAGTGCAACTCCCATGACTGAATCTCTTTAGACCATCCTGGGTCACGTGTCTGTTCTTGACTTAGTCACTGTTTTTACAAAAAGTTAATGTCAGGAATTCCCTGGCTGTCTGGTGATTAGAACTCTGAGCTTTCACTGCTGTGGGTTCAGTCCCTGGTCGCGGAACTAAGATCCCGCGAGCCGTGTGGCTCGGTCAGAAAAAGAAAAGAAACAGTTAACACAAAAGCATTAACCCATGTATCTAGGAGTTTAAAAAATACTTCTAAATAACATATGTCAAAGAAGAGGTTGCAAGTGGGAATGACAGAATATTTAGGACTTTCTACTGGAAACCACTCACTCACTTTCCGCTTCTATGGTTCAGCCTGTCCTGGGCATTCCCTACAAGTGGGCTGACATTCTGTGGCCTTTCATGTCCGGCTTCCGTCCCTCAGCCTTTGAGACTCAGCTGTGTTCTGCCTCTGTCAGTGCTTTATCCCTCCTGGAGAAACCCATTCTTGCTCGTTCAACAATTGGGGGCATTAAGTGACATCCCACTTGCAGAAGGGGCTCCTTTAGGGCCTGGCCCACACGAGGCGCTTACAGAGACCCCTTCCCCTCATGAGTCATGGAGTTTCCCTGGCAGTGCCCTGCACACAGGCCCTCGCGTGATCCGTGACACCAGCCTCTCCATGCGCCAAGCTTTGGCAGCAGCAGAAAGACCAGGAGAGGCTCAGTCCCTGATTCCCCTCGATGCCGGCTCTGGTATCAGAGCAGCGTCCTAGGGACCGTTGGGGCTGTGAGGTCCTGATGCAATGGCCCCCTCTCCGGAGAAAGGCTGTGATGACGCAGAAGCCGCGCCTTGCTGAAACAGGACGTGCGTTCAGAAGCAGGCACGAGAGCTGTGGGGGCCAAGAGGGCCAGCGTGGCGACCAGGGTCAGCCTCAGGGTGTCTACAGACCTCTGTGCATTCAGCAGCCCCGCAGCCAAGGAGGGGGCGCCTTCGTGCTTGCGGACCCCGGCTGTCACCCCAGCCTGCCGCTGCTCTTTGTCTGCCCTTGGCAGGCTGCAGCCTGGTCTCAAGGCGTGGCTACGTGCCCGGCAGTCACCTGTGTGGTGTGGAGTGCCCCTGCTCGGCGGTTCCAAAGAGCCGTGCATAAGCAGCAGCACGGAAACGAAACAGTTCCAGCCAGCAGGCTCTGGGACCCAGAAGCGACCCTTCACTGCACCCAGTTATCTGGGAAAAGATGGTGAACCATGAATTTTTTACGAACTAGGTTTATCTAAGTTGAGGGAGGGAAAAGGATATAAAGATTAAAGGCAACCCATTGAGAATCACATGTATTTTATTACAGAAACAAAACCCTGGGACTACCTGAAATTCTAATTTTTCCTGAGGGAAATAAACACCATTAAGACCGGGCCCAGTTTATGAGGGTCCGGGGCGTGTTTCCCCGGAAACGGCGTAAATCTGCTTCCCAGAGAGTATGCAAAGACCGTTTCCAAGACGCCTGCCACCCAGGCCAGGCGTGGAAGCAGCACTTTCCCATGGAGGCTGGTGCCGTCTCTCCGGCCAGGTTCCCTCTCCGTGGCCCAGCGGTGCCCCCAGCTTTGGAGGTTTATGTCAGCAGGAGTATTTTTATTTAATGTCACATGGTAAACACAAAGAAAATCCTCTGTTTTCTGACCTAATTTCAGCAGGGCACAGAATTAAGAGTTTAGCTTGTCACCTTGTTTTCTCCCGAACTTAGTCAGGCTTCAGTATTTTTGTTCTTGGAGCGAAGCTCCTCATTAAAGATATTGAAGACTTCCTTGTACTCATATCTTGTACTATTTGTTTAGTTCTTTAATAAATGAAACCCTAATCCAAGTGCAATTTCTGAAAGCCTTTCTTTCAATATTTTAAGAAGTTATTTCCCCTGATGAGAAGCTGTCTTGTTGCCCCGTGTTGAGCTGAACGACAGAGCCTGCCAGGCTGGTTTTCGGTCATCCTCCCCTCTCTTACAGGGAGAGGACGGAAAGCCAGCATATGGGTTTGATAAAGGTCGGCCAAGTTGGGTTGTATTCTAGTTGGTGTGTGAGACAGGGGTCCAGGGTAGTGGGTGGGAGTGGGGAGGGGGTAGGATGAAGTGGAAGGATGAAGCCCTGCCCCTGGGCCCTGGCACTAACTTCTGATGACCATGGGACGCCCTTCCGTGCTCTGGGCCTCAGTTTCCTCATCTGTGAAATGGGCAAACTGACTGGGTGGCCTCCAGGTGCCTCTGATCCACCCTCTGAGCTCCTGGCCTGTGCCGGGGACAGGGCCGGGCGGGGGTGGGGGAACCCGGCGTAGGTCTCGCCCAAGCAGGGAGGGCGTGGGGCGCTCTGGGGAGGCCAGAGGCTGGCTCGCCTTTCTGAAGGCCCGCTCCGCATCTGCACACTGGGCTGGGGGCCTGTACCCGTGGAGGGTCTGGGAAGGCAGCCTGGGCACGACACGTGGACTGTCTGACCGCCGGAAGCGCCGGGCCTTCCGTTGGAGGTGGTGAGCAGTCTCCCTCCGGAGGTGTTGAGGCTGGGTGGTCACTCGGGGTACGGTTGTGCTAGGGTGTCTGCGCTGAGGGGACTGGACTCTAAAAGACTTTGAAGGCTTTTCTGAATCCAACATCTGCGGTTCTGTGAGTCAGGGCGGGCCGATGACCACAAGAGATGTGGCCGCCAGAGCGTCTCCAACAAGACACACAGCTGAAGTCCGCAGGGACCCGCCGCGCCAAGTGCAGGCGGGAACGCGGAGCACTGGGGCGCCCTGCACTGCTGCTGGAGGCGCCTTGACAGGCGGTGTGGCTCTTCTCACAGCGGTGAAGACGCACGTGCCACGCGACTTCCTACACATTGATGTTTACCCGGGAGACACGAACATCATTTCATACCGACACCTGCACACAGGCGTTCTCAGTGACCAAAAACTGAATTCCAGCAGGTGAACGGATGACAAGCTGTGTCCATCTGCGGACGGAGCACTGCTCTCTGATGGGAAGGAGGGAGTTATCGGGGCTTTTGATGGCAGGGATGGATCCCAAGAACAGAACCAGGAAGGAAGCCCAGCAGGGAAGGCAGTGTGCTCTGTGAGTCAGCTTGGGTGATGTTCTGGAGAAGGCAGGATTCTGTGTGGATCCATGGTTGCAGGGTGGGAGTGAGGGGCAGGTTCGAATGCTAATGCGGGACGCCCCGGGGATGATGGATCTGCCGTGTCCTGAGTGTGCTGGTGGCTAAGCACTCATCTACACTCTGGGAACTGTGTGTTGGGAGTGAATCCTAAGCTTTGTAAATTAAAGAAGGACAAGGAAATGATTCAGGTGAAGAGCAGACAGAAGCAGTAGGAAACTCCCACCCCCACCCAAGGCAGTCACTGCCTTTAAACGGGGGCCCGTCACACCCATCGGGATGGCTGGTGCATACACAGATGTGGAGAGAACAAGCGTTGGCCGGGGTGTGGGGGAACTGGGCGCTGTTTGTGGGGGGCTGTAAATGCTGCAGTCGCTGTGCAAAACCATGTGGCGGTTCCTCAAAACATTGAATTATGATGTGATTGAACTGTTCCACTTCTTTTTGCCCAGAAGAACTGAAAGCAGGGCCCTGAAGCGATATGCCAACATGCACACCTGCGTTCACCGCAGTATCGTCCCCTGTAGCCAGAAGGTGGAAGCGACCCAGGTGTCCATGGACACGCAAACAGATAAACACCATGTGGTCCGTCCCTACCGTGGGAAATCATCCAGGCTTCAAATCCGTGCATCCACCTGTGTGTCCATCCATCATACATACATACATAGGTACTCAGTACATTCATCCCTGCATTCTCTCCATGTGTCCATCTCTCCATCCATCCAGGGGTGAAATGTTTGCTTGCTCACTCAGCCAGTGGGCACCCTCTGCGGGGAGCTGGTCTCAGGGCCCCCCAGATGCCCACCACCTCACTGCAGACAAGAGACCAATGATGAGCAAACAGCGGCAGGTCAAGGCAGCGTCAGGTAAAAGCAGAAGCCCCACCCCAACAAAGGCAGCTGGCGAGACGTTCAAAGGAGGCTGAAAGCGCAGTGGGAACACTCCTCTAGGAAAACTACTCTGAAACATAAGGAGACGGACCTATACGGAGCGAGGCCCTGAGACACAGAGTCCGCTGTCTGTTGGAAAGGCCTGTCACAACGCTGGCCTTCTGGGGTGGTGGCAGTAAAGAACTAGGTGGGACTTTCAGTTTCCACGGCCACGCATTTCTGTACCGTTTGAATCTGCAGCATGTTTCGGATGAGAAGCTCAAAGGAGAGAGAAGATGTACTCCTGGCCGTCAGGGGGTGTTGTGCCAGGCAGATGCACCCAGAGCCCCAGGTGCACCCAGGCTGGGGTTTGAGTAGGATCTGGGAGGGAGGAGCCGGGCAGGGAGTCCCTGCATTACCAGTGAACACCCCTGGGGGGCAGCAGAGGCCGCAGAACTCTCTCGGCGTGTGGAGCAGGGACTGGCCAACCCCAGGGTGGGCAGAGGCCCTGTCTGCCTCCTCCCCTCAGGCCCTTCCACCTCATCAGCCATCCTGCGTCTTCCCAGAAGCCAGAGGCCAATTCTGCTCTCTGCCTCCCTGTCTCTCCTGCACCCACCCTTCCTCTCACTCCAGCCCACCCACTCTCCCTCTCTGCCTCTCTCCCCATCCAAAGAGCCACCTGATGAGAAAGCTCTTTGTCCTTCAGAGGTGTCAGCATCTGCAATTTACGTCACCTGCTGAGCCTGTCCTGAGGCCTGGACCCTGTTGCAGGGCTAGCAGGAAGCTCAGGTCCAGTCCTGACCCTGGGAGACCATGGGGTGAGCTCCATGTGGGCATTGCCCTGGGCCCTGGGAAGCACCACTGGATGAGACCGTCGCGGCTGTGCTGAAACAGCGTGGGTCCCCGCTGGCCTCTGGGCCCCACATTCGCTAAGATTGGCCTCAGGTTTAGCTTTGCGCTTCCTGGTGCCGCTGAGAGAAGGGGAAAAGGTCAGGCATCCAGGTACCTCCCCCTCTGTCCACGGTCAGAGGCGTGGGCTGTGCCGACTCCATGGGGAGGACTGTCCTCTCCAGATTTTTGCAGGGGCCACTGCGGGGTCCGAGCTGCCTCTTGCTGGGATGTGGCCTCGAAGTGTCACTCAGACAGGACTGGACGGCTGGGGGACGGAGAACAAGGAGCAGCCACCCCCGGGGCTCAGCCTTGGGGCCCTGGGGGCCGTGACTTTCCGTGAATAAACAGCAGGACTCTTAGAGCTGCTTTTCATTCTTTTAAAAAATTAAGGCGTGATGTCCATGCGGGGGATGCCCTTGGCGTGCCATCCTGAGTTCTGACAAGCACATGTCATCATGTAACCATGGCCACGTGCCCCACCCCCAGCTCCCCCGGCCCCCCGGCCCCCATGACCCCTGGGCTCTTTTCTGTCCCCGCAGCTTCGCCTTTTCCGAGACATCACCTGGAGGAGGAAACGGCAGCCCACTCCAGTGCTCCTGCCTGGAGAATCCCATGGACAGAGGAGCCTGGCGGGCTGCAGTCCACGAGGTTGCAGAGTCAGACTCAACCGAGCGGCCAAACAGCGAAGCAGCCACCGGAGCAGAGCCGCACGCCGCGTGCTGGCAGGGCTGCTGCGGGCGGCGGGCGGTGCGGACACGCGCGGGTGAGCGCTTGCGCCTGTGTGCCCCTGCGCATGCGCGGCTGTGTCTCTGGCCCCTCCTGGGGTGCTGGCGGCCCGGCCCGCCCCCTGCCCCCTGCCCGGCTCACCGCCTCTGCAGGGGTGAGCCCCCGAAGGGACACTTAGTCCTCCTTCCCCCTTGTATTCAGGCTCCTCGCCGCCCGCCCCCCACAGGCGCCTGGCCCCTCCCGGCCGCCGCAGGCACTTCTGTAGAGGCGCGCGGGCGACCCTGGGAACGGAGGCCGTGGGGACCCCGTGGGCGCGGCTCCCGGAGGGGCTTCGCGCTCCTGCGGCCCGCGTCTGTCCTCGTCCTTGCCGGCGGGGGCAAGCGGGCCGCGCCGCGCCTCCGTCCTGCCCTTGGCACATGGCTGTCGGGACAGTCCTCCAGCGCGAGCGGCCAGACTTCCCGTGTGAGGGGCACTCATCCGCCCAGGTGCGGCTCTGCTGGGCCCTCTGGCGGTCGGTCAGCCGCCGCCCCCGAGTCCCCTGCTGCCCCCGCCACGCACTCTGGGGGTTGAGCGCTGGTCCTGAGCACCACTGCCCGAGCCCTTCCCCCCCAAGCGAGCGAGGAGGCGGCCATGTCCTGCGGGGAACAGCAGGCTTCACCCAGCGCGGCTGGAGACAGGAGCCTTCTCCGCAGACTGCCGTGGTTGTCTACACATGGGCCTTGCGTGGCCTCGGGCCTATCGAGGGGCTTCTTCACCCGCCGTGTATCTGGGGGAGACCCCAGCACCCCTGCGTGGGGCTGGGGGCCGGGGACTCACTCTGGGGCTCGGCCTGGTACAGCAGAGGTGCCCGGGGTCTGGATGCAGCGTGCGCTGTGGCGCTGTGGGGTGTGGGGTGAGGGCTGGGGTGGAGCCTGCCGCCCCCCTGCCTGTCTCCCCAACACCGCACTCGGCTCCACCAGTGGGAGGTGCCTTCTCCTGCACCCGAAGCCCTCCCAGCTCCCGCCTATCCCCTGCCGCCACGCGTCTGCTGTCCCTCGGCAGCCCCCCAGGGCTATGGCCCCCGAGAGCCTGCACTCCGGGAGCAGAGCGGCCTGAAACCAGAGAAGTGAACACGGGGGATTTGGCTTAAACTCATTACATCCCACGACCCCGCCTGCCCATGATCCCAGCCTGCACGCCCGGCCTTGTAATCTCGTCCGGCCTGGGGATAATTTGTTTAGCTGTGCTGATCAGTTGAAGGTTGATTCAATTGCACTGGGGTTATTTATTTGTGCCCGGATTTGCTAAGTGTCATTGGAGGTGCATGAGGTCTTCATTACGGTGGCAAGGTGGCTTCATCAGGGTGACGGCCCCTCCTGCCCACCTCCCCACCCTTTCCCCTGCTCCGAGCACCGGGGGCTTCCCCTGCCCCGGGAGGGCGTGGCTGCCTTGCGGGGCTGATGCCCAGGTGCTGCCTGACTTGTGGGGTGGATGCTGTGGGGGGTCCAGACGGGGGTTCTGATTCTTGCTCTCTTGCAAGAACCACCTGCAGTTCCACTTATGAAAACGCCGGTTCTAAGTGAGTTCGGGCGACCTGCTCGCCTGCACTCCGCCCCCGAGTGTGTGTGTGTTTGCTCAGTCCAAGGGCTGTAGCCCACCAGGCTCCTCTGTCCACACCATTTCCCAGCAAGAACACTGGAGTGGGCTGCCATGTCCTTCTCCAGATCTTCCCGACCCAGGGATCCAACCCGGGTCTGCCACATCGCCTGCATTGCAGGAGGATGGTTTACCACCCAGCCACCTGGAGAGCCTCTGAGGGGCCTGCTCTCCCCTTTTAGCCCCCTCCTTGCATAAGGACCCCAGGAGAACCCTAAAGGCACCCCCTCCCCAGCCTTGGATTTCTGCTTCTCACACTGGGAGCACCCACCTTCCCTCTTGCTGCACCCCGCCCCAGGGTGGGCTGCACAGTCCGTGAGCCCCCGTGGCTGTGCCCGTGGACACCGAGGTCACAGGGAGGGCAGGTGGGGCCAGCCGGCTGGCACGCTGCCCAGAGCTGGGCTCACTCCCCGGGCAGCTGGGGATGATGGATGGCCCTGCGGTGCCTGCCCGGGGTGAGCAGCACTGGCAACTCGCTGCGTTCCTGGCCCAGGGTCAGATGGCTGGCTGGCTGCTCCTGCCCATCCTGTGTCCTCCCAGCCCACCTCACCGTGACTCGCGCAGGGTGCGGGCAGGCGGGCGGGGGCCCCTCCCCAGTGATGGTGCACGGGGTCACCCCAGGGCTGCCAATCCTGGCCGCAACAGGAGCGTTCTGGGTGGAGTGGAGGGCCCGGAGCAGGGGCTGTAGCGACCACAGCCGGGGAGATGGGCATGGGGTGGGAGTGCCCCCAGAGACTGCTTGGAGGGTTGCCCATCATTCCCGTCTCTGATGCAGAAGCCAGGGCAGGGCGGGGTGGGGAGGGGCGTGGGGGCAAAGATCCTGCCCACGTTCCCCACCCAGGAGGCACCCAGGACCAGCTTGCCCTTCCATCCCTTCTGGGGAGGAAGCAGGGCGGAGCCGAGTTGCCCCCTAGGCAGCGCTTCCTCAGCGAATAGCCTCTGTTCTAAGAGCTCGGAGGGTCTCAGAGACTCAGGCTGACCCCTCAGCTGAACCTGAAGGAATCTGAGGCTCAGAGAGGGAAAGCGGTGCCTGCAAAGTCACACGGCACACCGGGGGCCCCGCAGGGACCCCTGTAAAGGGCATGAGGAAGATGCTGGTAATGACCCAGAAGCCAAGCCCTCCATCCACAGACATCGATTTTTCCAGGCCCAGAGAGGTTAGGTGACTTGTCCAAGGGTGCACAGCTGCCCCACTGAAGAGCCGATGGCAGACCTGTCTGCTTCTGCCCACATCCTCAGACCTCCCTGTGCAAGACAGGCGTCAGGGCGGCCCTGAGAAAGACTCGGGGATACCCCCGGAAGCCCACCCCGAGAGGATAGCCTGAGAAGTACCGCCATCGGGAGGTGCACCCAGGTGCACCCCTCAGAGCCAGCCCCCTCCTGCAGGCGAGGGGGCCTGTTGTCAGGCACTGGTGAACCTGTGTGTCCTGGACCGTCCCCTCCTGACACTCTGGTGTCTCGTGGTCCTCACATCACAGATGGAGAAACAGGCTCAGAGAGTCCTGGCCGGCTGAGAGCCCAGAGGCCCACAGCAGGAGGCCCTCCTTCCTTCTCCCCAGCAGGGTGCTCTCATTGAGCTCCTGTGCACCCGTGCATCACCGCTGTCATTGCCTCGAAGACCTCATGTGAGCCCCCAGGGAAGCGTGTTTCTGACTCACCGGAATGCCCCCAGATGTCCCTGTGCTCTGGGCACCATGAGAGGGTCAGTCACATCCTGGGTCAGCATCTGGACTGTCTGTCCTACTGCGTGTTCCAGCTACCCGTGCTGTGTAACAAACCATATAACAACACATCATCACTCGACTCTGTGGGTGAAGAATCTGGGCTGGGCTCAGCTGGGTGGTTCTTCTGCTCTACGTGATGCTACCCAGGGGCCACCTGGGGCACTCAGCCCAGGAGGGGCTGGTCTGGTGGGTCCCAGACAGAGTCACTCATGCCTGGCGCCGTGACAGGGATGGCTGGACAGCTGGGCTCAGCTGGGATTGTCCACTGGGGTTCCCACCTGTGGCCTCTCCAGAGGAGCTGGACTTCTCACGTGGCAGCCCAGGGCCCACCGAGCAGGTGTCCTGGAGGCAGTAGTTTGCCAGTGTCTTTGGGCTGGACCAGAAGCCAGCAGCATGGCGCCACCCCCTGTTCTCTCTCTGTTAATTGTGGCAAAACACGCAGAACGCAGTGGGGCTTCCCAGGTGGCTGTAGTGGTGAAAAACCCGCCTGCCAATACAGGGGAGACATAAGGGACTCGGGTTCTGTCCCCGGTTCGGGAAGATCCCCTGGAGAAGGGCATGGCAAGCCACTCCAGTGTTCTTGCCTGGAGAATCCCTTGGACAGAGGAGCCTGGTGAGCTACAGTCCATGGGGTCGCAAAAGAGTCAGGCACGTCTGAAGTGACTTAGCACGCACACGCATAGAACACAGTAGTTATTATACCATTTTAACCATTTGTAAATGTCAACCCAGCAACATTGAAGGTACTTACAACCTTGTGTAACCATCGCCAGCCGTACCTGAAACATTTTCATCACTTGGAACAAAAATTCCATCCCTGTTAAATACTGACTCCCCCTCATCCTCCACCAGGCCCTGGTTCTCAGCCTCTGCTGTCTGTCTCTATGAATTTGACTCCAGCGGCGGACCCCTGTAAATGGAATCACACAGTATTTGTCCTCTTGTTACTGGCTAACTTCACCGAGCATGTTGTCTCCCAGGTTCATACATCTTGTAGCAGGTGTCAGCATCTCCTTTCTCTTTTAAAGTCGAGTCATATCCCATTGTGTGGATGGACCACATTTTATTATCCATTCATCCATGGATGGTCAGTTGAGGTTGTTCCACGTTTTGGCTTCGGTGAATAATGGTGCTGTGATGGTGGGTGTACAAGTATCTGAGTCCCCAGGCTGTTTTTTTTTTTGGGAGGGTGCCTTGCCATGCGGCCTGCAAGATTTAGTTCCTCAACTGGGGATTGGAGCTGGGCCCTCAGCAGTGAAAGAACAGTGTGGTAACCACAGGGATGCCAGGGACCCCTGCATGCTCTTCTAAAAAAATGTTGATGAGTTGATTGCACGCTGGCTGCGCTGCGTCTTACTGCCGCAGGGCTCTCTCTGGTCGTGGCCGGCGGGGGCTGCTCTCTGGCTGCGGTGCCCCGACCCCTCAGGGCCGTGGCTTCTTTCGCCACAGAGCACGGGTCCAGGGCACACAGGCTTCAGCACCTGTGGCGTTCGGGCTTAGCTGCCCCGAGGCACGTGGAGTCTTCCTGGGCCAGGGATTGAGCCTGTGTCCTGTGCAGGGCAGGTGGACTCTTATCCACTGACCACCAGGGAAGTCCCCCCAGATACCCTCAATAAGCCGCCACGGAACCCACAGAGTCTGGGAGGGTGTGTGGGCTCCGTATCAGCAGGAGGGCAAGGCTCGCAGAGAGGGGCCGCCTGGATGCTTTGGGTCACGTGGTGAGTCAGGAGGCGGCAGCAGGGATGGTCAGAGTGGAGGAAAGGAGCGGGGGGCCCGGGGCCCAGGGCCTGGGAGGGCGGGTGGGGGCAGAAGTGGCCTGGGAAGCGAGGGCTGTGGCTGAGGCCTCTGGGGAGGGTGGGCCGTGGTCACAGGGTCACAGGGGGTCTGGGTGTGAGGCTGGGCTCCGCCCTCCAGGAGCCTTGTGACCTGTGTCTCAAACGCGCTCCTGAGAAGATGGGGGTTGGGGGGGGAAGCACTGCCACCCTCGAAGGACGTGGGAGAGTTCAGTGGGGCCTCGTGCCTGGCTCCCAGCCACCCAGGTGACGAGAGGGCTGTAGACGCACCTGCGAGGGCCCAGGGTTATGCCCCCAGGGGTCAGAGTCAGGAGCGCTGGGGGTGGGGGCTTCCCAGAGCACCAGGCAGAGCCGGGCTGCTGGCTCCCTGCGGTGTAGCAGCGCCTGCCCGCCTGCACCGGTGCCCCCATGGCCGCCCTCTGGAGGCTGCGGCGCTGGGTGGTTGCCTTCCTGGGCCCCTACCCTCGGAAGGCTGGGCCAGCTTCCTTACTGGGACGGGGTCGCTGGGGCGAGCCTTTCAGGGGCTTCTCAGGGCAAACTTGGGAATGTGGACCTTCACCCCTGCAGCATTGCAGCGCTCAGATGTGTCCCGGGCCTGGCCCAGACCCAGAGGAGGGCAACAGCCTGCCTCTGGGGGCAAGGGAGACCCCACAACTGCGGGGGGCCGCCCGGGGCCCTTGACTGCAGGGCACAGGGGCCCGAGGAAGCAGCACCGGGAGTGTCCAACAGGCACCCAGCCTGTGCCCGTCACAGACCTGTGCGCAACGAATAGGCCGACGGGCGGGCCCTGCTGGCCAGCAGTGGGCGCCGGGGAGGGTGTGAGGCTGAGGGGGGCACCTTGCCAGGGTCGCGCCCGCCCACGCCTCCCCTCGCCCTCCCCGCGGGCCTCCCCTCTCCCCGCCTCCCCCCCAGCCAGCCTCTCCTTGCACATCAGCCAAATTCCAATTCCCCCAAGGCTGCCTCATCAAATATTCCTTCTTTCTCATCACCATAATTTTTCATTTGTAGGTTAAGCTGCACCTGGGGTTCTCAGAAATCCACTCGCTGCCCTGCAACTTGCCAACTTCTCAGATGTCTCATCCTCCTACATGTCTTTCCTTCTGGAGGAGGAGCCGGGCCATGGAGGGCGGGGGGTGCCCGGGGCGATCTGTAGGACTTTGCCTGGAAACGGTGGACCTTGGGCCCCGCTGTCAGCTGCGAAGAAGGAGCCCTTCCTGATCCGTCTGCCCATCCTTCCCAGGCACCGTGGACTAGACAGATTAGTCAGGCTTGAGCGTTTTTCCAGCACCTTCCACGTGCCGGGCACTCTCTGCTGGACTCGCTGAGATTATCTTGTGAACACTGAACGCCACATGCCCTGGCGGTCCCCCTCTCGTCCCCGCAGAGCCGAGGCTCGGGAAGGCTGCGGCCGGCCCGGCTCACCTGGACGGTAGCAAGCAGAGCTGGGGTTGGAGCCCAGGCCTCTGGGGTCTCAGTTTGGTCAGGAGGAGGCACGTGGTTAGGACACCAGGGCAGGGGCTGGCACAGGCGCGGCGGGAGGTGGGGGGCGCGGGGCGGGGTGGCTGGACGTGCCATGGTGGGCCAGAGCACAGGCCGGGGCTGGGCTGTCCTGGGCAGCCTGTCCGAGCCCCAAGCCCCGGTCTGGCGGTGGGGGCGGCTCTGCTCACTGGCACTGTCTGCGGGGAACCTCTGTCAGCCCTCTGGTGGGGGGCGAAGGCAGAGCCCCGCCCGCAGCTCCTCATCCAGGATGCCCGCCCCCGAGCAGGCCCCAGTCCTGGGGGGTGGACACAAAGACACGGACGTGCCTCTGTCCCTCGACAGGAAGCAGCTCCCGCTTCCCGCACACCCTGAGGGGCTGGGTGATGTGTTTTTAGCCCATTACACGGATTATTATTCCATTAGTGAAGTCACACAGTGGGGACTGCAGGACTCATCTCCAAAAGGCCTTGAGAGCATTGATCACTAAAAATTAATTAAAGCATTCTAATCTCTAAGTGCCTCTAGGCTGCAATATTCCCTTCCTGTGTCAGCTGAGAGAAACACAGCCTTGGTTACGGGAAGCTCCTGGCGGCCGGGTGGGGGTCGGGAACCGTGCAAAGGCAGCCGGGCAGAAACCAGATGCCGAGAAGGGGGAGCAGGGGCAGCCGTCCCCCTGCCGCCTGTGTGGGGGTGGGGCCACCTCCTGGGCTGAGGTCGCCGGCCCTCCTGCGAGGAGGCCACTTGCCGACCTTGAGGGCGTCCCTCTGCTTCCAGTGAGTCCCCGGGGGGATGTGAGGAGGAGCAGGCATGACTCTCAACGATCCCCCACCCCAAGCCCCGCGTTCTCATCGGTTACTCAGTCTCCGAGAGCCCTTCCCACCCTGACTCCCCCAGATCCGAGAGAAGCTTCCAGCACTCTGTGGCCTTGCCAGGCTGACTCTCGGGTGTAAACGTCATACCAGCCAGAAGGTTGAACTAATAATGAAGGTTCTCCAGATTCATCGTGTTCCCGGCCTTCTCTCCCCGCGGGAGCCCTGGACGTCAGATGAGACGGTTTGGGAAGCAGAGCGGCCTGGTCGAGGGCTGTCCTCGGGGTGGGCCGCGGCAGGCTCGGCGGGCGTCAGGTGCAAAGGGCAGGTGTGCTGGGGGGACCCGGGCGCCTTCGGCCTGGGCGCCACATGCCCAGCGTGTGGACGTAGAAAGCCAGGGCTGTCCAGGCTCCCAGGGCCTCGGGGGTGCCCAGGGACGGGCATGCCTGGCCGCATGTCCAGGATGTGAGGGTAAATCCAGCTTCCTCGTTAACTTACCGGAGGTGGTCATGCCTGTTCTGAGGACTGCTGGGAGGATGTTGATGAGGCGGGGGTTTGCCGACCCCCGGGTTGCAGGGCACGGTCCTGGTTAACGCTGACTTAGCCGAGTGTGGGCGTCAGGGTCCCCTCAGCCAGGCCTCAGGCTGGTCCAGCAGCTGGGCTGGTGGCAGGGCTGGAGCAGACGTCTGGTGAGCAGGAGGCCAGGGCTGAGGGTCTCCCACGGGAGGCAGGGTGGGCGGTGCTGGCTCAGGGCTGCAGAGGGGGCTCTGGGGAGGGCAGCGCCACTCTGGCGGTCACTGGTGGCCACTTGTGCCTGGCTAGTGGGCGAGGGGGTAGGAATCCAGGCAGTCGTGATTGGGAAGGAGGCTCTGGACAATGCTGCAGAGGCCACGAGGCCAGAGCGCAGTCGGGAGCCAGGGACCAGGGCCTCGGGTAATGCGCCTCAGCGCTGCGGTGGGGGGCGCCATCCCGCCTCCAGTCCTGGCCTGGCCTCCAGGAGCTGGGCAGCCTCGGGCCAGCCAGTCTCTGAAGGCGGTGTCCTTGTAGGCATGCTCTGAATCGTGCGCTGCTCCAGAGTCAGCAGTTACGGGGGCCAAGCCCCAGCCCGGGCCGCCTGGGCCAGCAGGAGCACAGTGCACCCTGGTCCTTAGTCTCTTTGTTGTTTAGAGAGAGCTTGAAAGTGCAAGTGTTAGTTGCTCAGTTGTATCTGACTCTTTAGACTGTAGCCCGCCAGGCTCCTCTGTTCTTGGGATTCTCCAGGCAAGAATAATGGAGTGGGTAGCCTTTCCCTTCTCCAGGGGATCTTCCCGACCCAGGGATTAAACCCAGGTCTCCTGCTTTGCAGGCGGATTCTTTACCATCTGAGCCACCAGGGGAGGCCAAAACGAGAGTTTATTTTTGTTTATTTATTTGGCTGCACTGAGTCTTGATTATGTGCGGCATGCAAACTCTAGTTGCGGAATGTGGGATCTAGTCCCCCGTTGAGGGGTCGAACCCAAGCCGCCTGCACTGGAAGCGTGGAGCCTTAGCCACTGGATCACCAGGGCAGTCTTAGGATAGTCAGTGTCTGACCATTGACCCGATTAAGGAGTGAGGCTTCTTCCAGGGCGGGGGAATGTGGGTGGGCAGGGCTCTCTTCGAGGAGCTTGCCTCTTCGCTGCAGGAACGGACGCTCAACAAGCAGCCGCAGTCTCAGGCGCTCAGGGCTGTGATGGGGAGAGAGGCCGTGGGTGCCCAGACTGGGGGCGGGGTTCTCAGGCAAAGTTCTCTGAGGGGCTCTCCCAGAGTCTCACAGTGAAGATGGGCAGAGTCCTGGGAGGAGGGGCCAGCACTCACACAGGCCTGGGAGAGGGTGAGCTCAGAGCAGGAGCCGATGGTGCATGATACTGCTGATGCCGAGGCTGAGGATGCTGGCGGATATGCTGACAACCGTGGTGATGGCGGCGATGGAGACCAGCGTGACAGTGACAGGGAGCGGCGCTGATGACGGAGGCGGCGATGGAGGCCAGCGTGGTGATGGTGGTGGTGGAGCCGGTGACCTTCATGGTGATGATGACTCAACTGTCCAAGAGCCTCCTCCATCCCTGTCAAGGGTCCAGCATAGCTGACAGGACTGGAACAGGAGTGCTGGCTAGTCGGGAATCGGCTGACTTTTCTTAAGTCTGAGCTTTGCTCCCTGAGCCCCCTGCCATTCCCGCAGCCCCGTGCGGACTGCAGGCCCTGGGATCCTCCCGTCTGCCTCCACACAGGGCTTTGGTCTGTGCCGTGTCCCATCCGGGGGAAGGACCATCCAGGCTTTGGTGCCCCTTGGCCACATCCCAGTCCCTCTGCAGACGGCCTCTCCCAGTCTGGATGGCTGGGGGAGCTGAGGCTCCATCTTGGAAGGGCTGGCCACCTCTCGCTGAGGAGCGCTTATGGTGAGGTGACAGCTGGCAGCTGCCGGACCACCGTCTTCACGGCTGGAGGCGGTCTTGTCAGGCAGGACTGACCCCCTCCCCCCAGCTTCCCCCAACCCTGCTCCTGGACCAGCCGCATCTTCCTTAAGAGCAAGTGATTGTGATTGGAAACTAAGATCACTTCGGAGGTTCTAGAAATCCAGAGTACCTCCCTCCAGGAGGTCCCTGTAGGGACTGCATGCAGCCACAGTGCAGTTTTGTTAGAAGTGAACCAGTCTGTGAGCCTCTGCCCCCAGCTGGCCCCCAGCCCGTGCGGACACTGGTCGCAGAGGCTGCGGAGCGGGCTGACAGCACAGAACAAAGCTGCCTTCTCGGGGCTGCGGCCCGCACTCCTCCTGCTGCCTGGCCTTCTCCAGGCCCTCCAGGCGTGTCCCTGCCCTGCCCTGGCCCCCCCTCACATCCTGCCGGGTACTCAGCGGGTACCAGCGGGTCTCCAAGCTCTCCGACTTCTGAGCCCAGATGCTTAGCGGGGGCCCAGCCCCCTCCCCACCCCTGAGTTCCAGTCGCACAAGCTCCCCTCAGTCCTGCTCACACTCCAGCCAAACAATCTTATCTCCACACTCCCCGGATATCTCCTCGAGCCCCGAGCCTCGAGGTCCCAGGAGGGGCAGAGGGAGGATCCCCCCCTAACCCCAAACAGACAGGGGAGGCGTCGTCCCAGGGCGTGGAGCCAGCTCTCGGCAAGGGGGGAGGTTGGGAGGACCAGGCCTGTGAGCGAGAGCATTCTCTCGGTTCTCTGGATGCTCAGCAGGCATTTCTAGGGCCAGGCGGGGCAGTGATGTCCTTGGGTCCTGCCGGGGTGTGGGGGCGAGAGGACCCGGGTGGGGGACACTATGGGGATTGCTGGTCCTGGTGATGGCAGAGAGGCAGGGAGCTGGGGAGGGGGCCGGGGGTAGCCAGGGCCTGCAGTGTCCGAGGGGCTTAGGTGGCATCCGTCTGGGCGTGGGGATGTGTGAGAGCTTGGGGCGGCCGGGGGCTGCTGCCCTGGCACCATGTGGGGAGACCGAGGCCCTTCTGCTGTGTCCTGCCCGCTTCCCAGGACACAGACGGGGAGCAGCCAGCAAGAGGGGCCACACAGGGTCCTGGCCCCCCGAGCCCTGCATGGGCGTCCCCAGAGGCGGGGTGGAGGGGCCGCAGCCTGCAGGGTGTCGTGACCAGGGCGAACGGCCTTGAGAGAGGACAGTGAAGAGCCGCCCGCGTGACCGCGGCAGCAGCCGCGTGGACGCCGGCCCTCCCTGAGGACGTGCCCACACAACCCGCGACACTCACGAGCTTGGCAAGCGGCTCCCAGCTTTTAATTTGTGGGGAAGCGACCTTTTATATTTCAGATCACATGAAGTTAATTTGCACTCCAAGTTCAAGAGAGCTTCTGAGAAGGTACAAATGTGATTTCTTAACAGCTGTTCCTGTAGAACTCAACATGACAGAGATGATGAGAAGTGAGGATTCATCTTTAGAGACAGAAAGAGACGCTCCCTCCCCAGGCCGGCCCCGGAGGGCGGCCACCAGAAGTGAGGAGCCCGTGGGAGTGCGGGAGCCAACTGCTCACCTTGCGTGGTGCCCTGGCCCGCAGCTCTCCTCCTGCTGCTTGAAAACCACCGGCGACGGGGAGCTCACTGCCTCTAGGGCAGCGGTGTCTGACGCTGCTCAGTTGGCTGTGGGAAGGTCTTGCAAGTGTTGGGTCAAAGCTGCTTCTGCTGATTGTGCTCTGCCCTCTGAAGATGCACGAAAACCTCCCTTCCTCCTCCTCCTGCCCTTCTGGTGTCTGAAGGTGGTCAGCTCGTCCTGCCCTTCTGCTGACCGCCTCCGATTCCTTAACGGCGTGTCCTAAGCTGGCATCCGGGTCTGCCCACCCTGTCCCTGAGGATGTTCCGATCCGCCCAAGTCCCTACAATCAGGCACTCAGAACCAAACAGAACATGCCTTTTTCTGACCAACCGGCCAAAATCCCTGTCACCTTCCTGCCTCGGGACACCACACCTCCAGCTGGACGGCTGAGGGTCACACTGAGCATGGCCTTCAAGGCGCTGCTGGCCCACTCGGTCAGCATCCAGGGGGAAACTGCACGGGACAGCGCCACGCCAGTCGCCGTGGGGGGTCAGGCAGGGAGGCAGCCACAGGGGCGGCGGGTCTAGTCTGAGGGCCGAGCTGGTGCTGATGGGGGCTGTGGCTTTAGGGTGAACCCGGCTGTCACGCTGTCATCGCTGCTGTCCCCCCAGGTCCACCTGGGCCCTGACGACTGGCCCGGGGCTGGTCACCTGACTTAAGCTAGACCAATCGGACTGGGAGTCGGGATGGTGGGTCAGTCCCTGCAGCTAGCCATGGGGGAGCTCTGTTCCCACGGGGTCTGGGACATCTGATGTCTGTCTGCAGAGACGGGCTGGTGGGGGGGCACGTGGACAGAGGAGTAAAATGGGACACAGATGCAGAGAGGTGGGGGTGGTGCACGTGTCACCTGCCCCCCCATCCACGTAGACCCAGAAGGTCCCAAGGGAAGGGCTGGTGCTGCGTATCTGGCCCTGGGACTCGGCTCCAGTTCCGACCTGACCCCTCCTGGAGGCAGGATTCTCCGAAATCCTCTGCCTCGCGGGAAGGCACCAGCCTCTCAGGCCTACCCTCTTTGCTGCCGGGCGGTTGGGGGCAGGGGGTGGGGGCAGGCCAGCAGCCCATTGCCTGAGGCCCCTGGTGGCCGCGTGGTTTTTCTCCTTTTATGATTTGCTCCTGCCCCCCTTGGGGACAGTTCCTGGCTTCTGGGTCTGCACCTGCCCAGGTGTGGAGCCTGCTGCGTCAGGGCCGGGTGAGGCCTGGAATCGGGGAGAGTGTCCAGGCTGAGCAGATGCTTCTCCGCTTGGCCAAGAGTGGTTGAGACCAGCCAGGGATCAGTCTTGCCTGGGCCCTGCTCGAGCCGGAGCCTCTGATCTCCCCCTGCAGAACGGGGGATGGTTACGCCCCCACCTCCTCCCAGGCCAGCTGTGACGGCTCTAGGTAGGATGCTGGCACGGAGCCAGTCCTGGGGAAGGCTGCCTGCAAGGTGGCACCTTGGGGTGCGGGGCGCAGGGGTGCTGGCTGAGGGCCTCCGGATGGGCCTCCCCACTCCCAGCCCCTCCCTGCCCGCCCCCACGCCGCCCCCCAGCCTCCTCCTCAGCGTGTGTTAGAGTGGAATTGTGTCCTCGCTAAACCCATGGAGTCCGGAGTCCTAGCAGCTCAGACTGCAACTATGGTGGAGATGGGTCTTTAAAGGGTGAACTAAGGTAAAACGAGGTCACGTGTGTGGCTCCTAATCCAGTCTGACAGGTGTCCTAATAAGAAGGAGATTAGGACACAGACGCGCAGAGGGATGACCACGTGGGGCCTGGGAGAAGATGGCCATCTGCACAACCAGCAGAGAGGCCCGGGGAGGTGCGCGCCCGGCCCACGCCCGGCTCTGTGGCTCCCAGAGCTGACGGGAAATAGGCATCTGCCGCTTCCCCCGCCTGGGCGGACGTCTGCAGCTGCGCCGAGCCCCTGAGGCCGTCAGAGGCCTCTCCAGTGGAAGGAGGGGTCACAGCTGATCCCACTCCTTGATGGGGGAAGGTTCTGGAAGAGCAGGTGGCCCTGGAATGTCATTGGTGGGGAAGTCCATGAGCTCCAGTGACGCTCGAGGGCAGTCCAGGATGGGGTTCAGGCAGGAAGCACCGGAGGGGCAGGCCGCGAGGGGGCCGACCGCATAGACGCGGCGAGGCAGCGGCGTGGAGCAGGGCTGGGGGGTGAACAGTGATGGTTAATGAGCGGCCCAGCCAGGGCCCAGCGTGCAGCCCCTGGGAGCACAGCCCTGCAGCCCGGGAGGCAGGAGGTGCCCCGAGACAGCCGGGAGACCCAGGATGGCCCAGCATCCCGGCCCCGCCCCCAGCCCTTCTGTCCCCCACCCAACCCCCCTAGGTCTGCGGGCATCACGATTTGTGGGCCGCGCTGGGCCGCGTCTCAGTGGGTTTTACTCCTCTCATTAATCTGTTTAACAGGCTGTTACAGCCTCTCAGACAGCGTGGGGAGGTGTTGTCACGGGAGAGGTGGGAAGACAGTGACTTCGGCCAAGGCAGGGCTCCCGGGCTGTGAAGCAGAGGTCCGGGGTGGGCGGGGTCTCCTCCAGGCCCCACCCGAGCGCAGGTGGGCTTGACCAGCCTGAGCCAAGCCTGGCCTCAGGACTGCAAAACCAAGACTTCACCCCTCATTTCTCTGTTCCCTCTTCTCCCCGGCCCCCTTGGGTCACCTCATCTCATTCATCCGTTCACTCACTCATCCGTGAAAAGTCCCGTTGGTGCCAGGGGACACAGAGATGAATGGGTCCTCAGCCACCCCTAGACACAGCACAGCGCCTACCCTGAACGCCCACTCTTGTTTCCTATCTTTTATCCTCAGAATCTCTTCCTTTTCAGGGAGTCCAGCTGTTCAATGGTTAAACACAAAATTACCCTGTGACCCCGCAATTCCACTCCTTGGTATTCGCCCACAAGAAAGGGACGCATGTTCCCAGGAAAATCAGCACAAAATGTTCACAGCAGCATATTAACAACAGCCAAAAGGTGAAAAGAACCCCAGTGTCCATCAGCTGATGAACAGATGATGAAATGTGGTCTATTCACACAGGGGAATATTATTATTCATGAGGGGGAATATTATTCAGCAAAAAAAAAAAAAAGGACAAGCTTCTCATATGTGCTTCTGCCTGGGTGAATCTGAAAACAGGATGCTCAGTGAAAAACACTTGTCACACCAAAGCCCCAGAGTGTGTGATTCCATTTACATGAAACCTGGTCAGCAGGGCTGGGAGCAGGGGACTGGGGACTGAGGGGTGCAGTGTTGTTTTCTGGGGTGAAGACAATGTTCTAAAATTGACCTTTCGTGGTGGGTGCAGACTTCTGTGCAGGTACTGAAGCCTCCAGCTCATGCCTCCAAGCGGGTGATCTGCCTGTGCGTCATGTCTCAGCAACGCTGTGGAGCATCACCGTGCCTCTCTTCACAGGGGTGTCCAGGGGGGTCACAATTTTCTGTGAAATAGTTAAAATAGTGCCTGACACATGCTAAATGCTCAATAAACGTGAGCTATTTAAAAATCATACATCCCTTTTAAGGTCTTGAAGTTGCATGTCCTCCCAAAAGCCTGCTCGGCCTGGATAGGCCCACGCCAGCCCCCCGCTGTCCATGACACTCACCCCTTGATTTTTTTCTTTCTCTTTTGATTGCTTTATTTCTGATGGCGCTGGGTCTTTGGGGCTGTGTACGGGTTTTCTCTGGCTGCAGGGTGCAGGTTTGTCACTGCAGTGGCTTCTGGTTGCGGACGGCAGGCTCCAGGGCGAGTGGGCTTCTGGAGTCATGGCACACGGCCTTAGCTGCTCCGCGGCTTGTGGAATCCCCCCAGACCGGGGCTTGAGCTCGTGTCCCTGCACTGGCAGGTGGGTCCTTATCCAGTGTATGCCACTAGGGGAGTCCCCTTGTATTTCTTCTAACATGCGGGCTTCACAGCCAGCTCCTCAGTCTGTGGTTTCAGCATCACCTTGCAGGGCCCGGCGTGGTCTCCTCCCAACCCCCCCAGCGCCCCACAGCACCCACACACTCGGGCCACGTGGTCTGTGTGGGGCGGCCCCTCCCTGCCCTCACCCACTCACTGGCCTCAGACCCCAGCGCCCCTGATCTTCTCACGTGGATGCAGCCAGCAGCCAGCCCCAAACGCACGCACACGCTTTGGACCCTCCCCAGGTCGTGCCTGGTCCCTGAGAGGCAGTTTGGGCAGACAGGTGCCCTCGACGCTGGCGATGTGTCCCGCTTCTGGGACCCCGCCTGGAGGCAGCCTCCAGGAAGCTTGTGGATTTCTGACCCAGAGGACAGGCTGGCAAATCCATGGGGGTGAACATTTGCAGATATCATTAAACTGACAGAATGGCTAATAATTTAGATGATATTAAAACCATCCAACTTTGTCTGAGTAAATTAGAAGAATAAAATGAGATTTATTAAGGGCAAAGCCAGAGCAATCCAGCAAGAGAAAGAGTCAGAAATAGAAAAGGCAGGGTTTGGAGCAGTGTTAAATGAAGGACCAGGGGGTGGTGTCTGATGAGAAATGACAAGCTAACCACAGTACTGAGCCCCCTGACCCTCCCCGTCTCCCCGGGGGGCCCAGAGCTGATGGGCTTTGGCTGAGTCACCTCCCAGCTCTGAGGGCAGAGGGGGCAGCATCTGGGTCTAGTCTGGCAGCCACCCAGGGCCCAGCCCTGGGGCTGGGTCCTCTCCCAGAATTCCTCTTCCCAGGAGAGGCCAAAGACCCAGCCAGGTGAGCAGCCCCTTGGGGCGTTGCATTATTGAGCACCTACTGTGTGCCGGGCAGGGCTGGCTGAAAGACTCTAGAAATGCAGTGTTGAGCGCTCAGGTGTGCCGGGCGCCTTCCAGACAGCGTTCAGTACGTGCTGCAACAATCCTCTAAGTCAGGTGTGGTCCCTCCTAGTTTATGGGTGAATAGCCAGGCTCAGAGAGGATCAGCAACTTGCCCAAGGCCACACAGCCAGCAGGGGGCAGAGCCTGGATTCTGGATCCCACCATCCTCCCAGCTGTCCCACAAGCGTGTGGAACACCTGCTACACACAAGATTGGAGGCCGTGGGGTGGGCCCGGTTCCCTCCCCCAGGTGGTGTGGCCCAGGGGAAGAGAAGGGTGGGCCAAAGAGAGACCCTGGCCAGAGAGCCATGTGGAGGTCACCCATGGGGGGAGGTTTGGGGGGCTTTCTCATGGGAGAGGAGCAGGTGAGAGGGCAGGGCTGGGGAGAAGTCTTGAGAAGCTTCACCTTCTGCTGGGCAGGTCAGTGATGGCCTGGGGCCCAGAGCCAAGGGGAGGGAGGGCGTCTACATAGAGAAGGTGGTCAACCAGCTGTCCCGCGTGCCATGTTTGTGCTTGGATGGGGCATGCCTGCCCACCCACCCCCCGTCTCAGGATGAGGGCCTCTGGGAGGACAGGGGAGCTTGCTGTGAGTGGGCAGCAGGCCAGCCGAACCGCCTGAGTTCTGAGCAAGCTCACCGGGCAGCTCAGGGGCCCAGGCTGAGTCTCCCCAGTGTGGCGGTGGCCCACCCTGGCTCCCAGGGCATAGCGCTGTTCTGCAGGCCTGGTCCCAGCATGCAGACCTGGCTCCGGGCTTCCTCACGGACCCTGCGTGCCGGGCTGTCCTGATTGATTGGTCGGCCAGAGCCAGCTGGGCACGTGCGGCCAGCCTGGACACCCCAAGGTGAGGGACGGGGAGCCTAGACCCCTCACACACCCCTGGGCCTTCCACAGGCCTGGCCCTGCGGTGAGTGTGGCCCACTGCCAGCTGGGGGAAAGGCTGGGCCCCCAGCGACTTTATGCCTGTGTGCGTGTGTGGAAAGGGAGGCTCAGATCGGGATAGGGAGCCGTGTGTGTGCCGAGGATGCCAGGGGAAGCGGCGGCCTCGTGGGTGGGGCCCGGCAGTGCGCTGGTTGGTTTTCCCCGCACACTTCACAAGGCCCCGTCAGACTGGCTGAGGCTGGCCCAGAGAGCGGAGAGGCAGTGCTGCTGCTGAGGGAGAGCAGAGACCCCCTAGCACCCCAGGATTTGCCCAGCCTCCCAGGGTGGGGATCTGTGTGGGAACAGGCCTGGGCTTCCCCTGGGAGCCACAGGGAACAGCCGTCTGGGGCCCGGCTGTCAGAGGCCAGGGAGCTGGGGTGGGGTCTGCTGGGCCGTGGCTCCGGGAGGGGCGGGGTGGGGACGGGCCCTGGCGCAGAGCTGCCCGAGGCGCGCTAATGATGCCTCGCGTCAGAGCCGGGCCTCGGCTCTCAGCGTCCTTGGCAGCACCACGCCAATTAAGGGTGAGCTGAGTGTATCGTTAGTTCCCAAATCGTCAGGATTCCAATTATGGGCGTCTTAGATCCACTCGAGCGGTTCTGCCACTCGTGCGGGCTGGAGAAGCTGGGTTGGTGAGGGGGTGCTCCTGTGCACTGACAAGCTGGAACGGGGCTTTGCCCGGCAGGGGGCTGGCTTAGGTTAAATCGGCACAGAGAGGCCTGAGTGCCAGGGCCTTGGTTTCCTGACCAGTCAGTGTGAGTGTCCTTCTCATGGAGGCGGGGAGTGGGCCAGACAGATTGGACATCTATTGGGAAACAGTTCAAATGTCACATTCCCAGCAGACCTTGCCCTGAGGCCATCTGGTCTGCCCCTTCACTGACACCAGGAGAAACAGCTGCTCAAGGCTGCAAGAGACCCTGGAGGTGGACCTGATCCAGACTCTGAGGCAGATGCGACCCCCTCCATCATCCCAGCCCAGTGGCCAAGCGTCGCCCCTCTTATGATGACGAGGCCCCTCCTGCTCCCGTCAGGGCCTATTTCCTAGTCCACCTAGGTTTTTCTTCTTGTTTGTTGTGCTGCACCCGTCTTCAATGCGGCATGTTGGATCGAGTTCCCTGACCAGGAACTGAACCCCAGCCTCCTGCGCTGGAAGCACCCAGTCTTAGCCACTGGACTACGGGGTTCTTCATTTGGAAGGAGGGGATTTCGGCTCGAATGGCCAGAGTAGCCTTGTGAAGGCCACGTACACGTCTGGAGGAAGAGCTTCCCAGGCAGAAGAAATAGCGAGTGCAAAGGCTCCGGGGTGGATCAGAAACACAGCCCGTGTGCCCACTGGACCATGAGGAGCCCCCTGGCCAAGGAGGAAGGGAGGTGAGAGGCTGTGGGTGACGGGGCCTGGGTGGGGGGCGCGGGGTTGGGCGAGATCTGTGCTGTTGGTGGGAGGGATGTGAGGAGCTTCTGTGAGGAGCCAAGCCGGGGGGTGTGATCTGTGTGCTCTGAAGGATGGAGCTGCCTCCTTGCTGGGGAGCGAAAGTGGGGAACACCTGGGGATTCTGGGTGTGGCGTCTGGCTGGAGGTGGGGGGATGGGGCTCTTGAGCTTGCTCCTGGCCTCAGCAGGGGTAGTGCTGGGAAGTGGGTATGACCAAAAGTTGTGGCCTGAGCCCCTGCAGAGGGCGAGGCGTCTGTTTGGACATGTCCCGTTTGAGCAGGTGGCTTCCCTGGTGGCTCAGAGGTTAAAGCGTCTGCCTCCAATGCGGGAGACCTGGGTTCTATCCCTGGGTTGGGAAGATCCCCTGGAGAAGGAAATGGCAACCCACTCCAGGATTCTTGCCTGGAGAATCCCATGGACAGAGGAGCCTGGTGGGCTACAGTCCACGGGGTCGCAAAGAGTCAGATACGACTGAGCGACTTCACTTCACTTCACTTAGGGCAAGGGCTGGGAGAGGCTGGGCTGGAGCTGAGGGGGCAGCGGGGCCCCACCCATGAGTAGGAGATCCAGCCCGGGGGGCGGGGGCAAGTGGTGGGCCCTGGGTTTGGACTGAGGCTCTGTTGTTCCCGTGCCTTGAATGGGCCTCGTGGGGGCCCCATGTTCTCCCGGAGCCTCAGTTTTCTCACCTGTGAAATGGGAGCACTCTGCAGGCCACCTCAGCCTGCCCACTGGGTGTCCCCCTCTGGTTGGGTGTGGCTCCCTCGCTGGTCAGCTCCTCCTGCCCTGGGTGGCTTCCGCAGGGCAGGTGCCAGAGACCCTTCTTTTCTGGGCATGTGGGTGCTGCCCCAGCTCCCCCTCCTCCTGCTGTTTCTGTCTCCCCTGTTCAGACGAGCCCGGTGGAAGGGCTTCAGGGCCCACACTGACATCTGACCTCTGGGGTCATTCCCCTGGGACCACCTCTTATTTGACTTGCTCTGGTTGAGGACGTGTCTCAGGGCCTGTGACCTGTGACTCCTCTCCCAGGTCCCACCCTCACCAGACCTTGGGCGGCTTGAGGTTGCTGCTACTCTGCCGCTTCCAGGGTCAGGAGGGTCTCGATTAAGTAGGGGTGCTGCCGGCCCTGGGGAGGCCAGGCAGTGAGCGTGATGGAAAACCAGGTCGGGTGTAGACGGTCCTGAAGTGGGGACGGGGGCCTGGCCCGGGGTGAGAAGCCCTCTCCCCACTGTGGGGCTGGAGCAGAGATGGCATGCCGCTGACTTGGGAGTGGAGGTCAGGCTGCTCTCAGAACGATTAGGAACATTCTCCGCTGGCCGAGAGGCCACGGGCGCCTCTGAACCCAGCACCTGGGCTGAGCAGCCGTGACGCTCCGATACACGCCCTTTGCTCAGACCTTCCTTCGCTCGGCTCAGTCCCAGCGTGTCTCTGTGTATTTACTACGCGTGCTTGCATCCGTGCAGCCCACAGAGGCAATGTTTGAACATGATATAAATGGTGCCCGGGGTCCCTGACACTCAGCATCGCTCTCCCGCTGTCTGGCCCTCCCGAGACTCGTCTGAGTCAGTCCACGTCTGGTTCACAATTGCCTGTTTATGTTAGCTGTGGTCCAGGGCTCCTGTGCGAACGTCATTCACTCATGCCCCTCTGAGTACACACGGTGCTCTTCCCACGCTTTCCCGTTGCACGCCGGTCCCGCACACGCTGGCGCGGAGTTTAGCTGTGCGGCCAGGAGTTCAGCGGCTGGGGCCCGGGCAGGCGCGTGCAGCTCCAGCAGGGTCCCGGACGGTCCCTGAAGTGCCGGCTGCCCTGCCCTGCCCTCGCTGGGAGAGATCCCCGTGCTCCAGAGCCTCACCAGCACTCCCGTCTGCGGAACCTGAATTTTTGCCCACCTGGTGGTTCTGAAGTGGGGTCTTGCTGAGGCTTTGTCCTGCGTATCCTGGTGATGGAGGTGCCCGTGGGAGAGCGGGCCGCCAGGCTCCCTGCTCCCGCCCCTGCTCCCACCCCCGCCAGCTCCCCGGTTGTCCTCCTTTCTTTACTGTTGTTCAGGAGTGCAGGGGTCCTCCGTGTAGCCTGGGTATTAATCCCCCGCTGGTGACCGGTGTTGTGAACGTCACCTCTGCGTCTGGTGGCCTTATTGCTGTGTTTATGGCGTGCTCTATCACACGGAGTTTTCTCATTTTGCTCTGAGTGGATTCATCCTTCTTTCCCCTGGTGATCAGTGCCTTTTGTTTGATTAAGGAACCCTTCTCCATCCGAGGATGGTAAAAGAACATTAGCGCTGCACACTCGGGTCTGTAACCTTCGGGGATGCACCTCGCGCTGATAGGAGGCGGGGCCACACCAGGGGGTGTCCTCCCAGAGGACTGACTCCCCGGGCCCCCGCACTGCTCTACCGTCTGCCCCTCTGCCCCGTGTGATGGCCCCTCCTCGTGACCCACGGACCCACGGGCTGGTCTGTGTTCCTGGAAGCCCCAAGGGAGGGAACAGCGGATGGGAGGCAGGGAAGGAGGGCTTGGGGGATTAAGGAGGCCGCCTGCGATGGAGGCAGCTGGGACGGACGCTGTGGGAGGTGGGGGGGTCCTGGGGGACGCTATGGGGAGGCCGGACAGCTACATGGGACCAGACGCTGCAGGGACTAGGGTGGTTTGGAGGCCCTGTGAGGACGGGGCCGCTCCCGAAGGTCAGGGGCCAGGCCTGGGGGCAGCTGGCCTTGAGGGCAGGTGCTCCCGCCCCCCGCCCACCCACACCCACACCCACACACCCACATGGAAGAACTCAGACCCTGGTCTGCGGGGGAGAAGGAGGGAGCCCACGTGCCCGCTGCGGGGAGCAGCGCCTCAAGGCCGACCTTCAGCTGAGTTACAGACGCTCATAAATCTCCTTTGCTCACACCTCAGCTTGGGGCCAGCGGCTGCATCTCATCCCCTCTCCCAGGGGCCACGTGCTCTCCCAGAGCCTGGGATTAAGCACCGAGAAAGACGGGGGACCCCTGGGCTGGCCGGAGGGGGTGGGGCCCCAGGCTGCCTGTCTCCCCGCTGCCGTCCTGGGCCTGAAGTTGGATCTGGAGCTGGAGAGCTTTGGCCTGGGAGCTGGGGGGCAGGCAGGGGAGATGATGGGACCCCAGGTCTCGGACTCTGGGCTAAGCCGTGGCTGGGGAGAGGCAAACGGCAGCCCCAATGCCCAGCGGCTGGCGGACGCCAGGCAGTTACAGAGTGCAGAGGGCCCCCTGTGCGGCCTTCAAGGCCCCCTCCAGGCCCCGGTCCCTCCCGCCCATCACCAGGGAGATTAGGTGTGAGGCGGCCCAGCTGCCCTCTGAGGCCACTGAGCCCCTGGCATTAGGCATCTCCTTCTGACCTTGGGAGGATTTGGCGCGGCGTCTGGGCTGGCCAGGTGGGAGAGGATGGCCCAGCGCTGGGTCAGCCCCGGAGTCACTGCTCCACACGCCCTTTCAGCACAGGCCCTAGACAAAGGCTTCCTCTGAAAAGTGCAGTAGTTAAACAGATAATCACAATCAGCCGCCAAGATTTAAACTGGAGAGGTTTTACATTCAAATCTGATTTCTAGCTTTTTTTTAGGAGACATAAACTGAAGGCCAGGTAACTCTGGGCTCTGCTGGGGCTCCGCTCAGAACCTCCACGTCCCAGCCCCCTCGAGGGAGAAACCGCCAAAGCCCTCCCTGGGCCCCCAGACCCCCGGCCCTGCTCACACGTCCCGCCCCCGCCCCCAGACCCCCGGCCCTGCTGACACGTCCCACCCCCCACCCTGGGCCGTGGCCCCGCTCACACGTCCCGCCCCCACCCTGGGCCGTGGCCCCGCTCACACGTCCCGCCCCCACCCTGGGCCGTGGCCCCGCTCACACGTCCCGCCCCCACCCTGGGCCGTGGCCCCGCTCACACGTCCCGCCCCCACCCTGGGCCGTGGCCCCGCTCACACGTCCCGCCCCCACCCTGGGCCGTGGCCCCGCTCACACGTCCCGCCCCCACCCTGGGCCGTGGCCCTGCCTCTCCCGCAGTTCCTCTGCTCCAGCCACGTGTCCCCGCCCTCCAGCTGCCAGGTGGGCTGCTGCCCCAGGGCCTTCGCACTTGCCGCTGCTCCTACCTTCCTCCCCACCTGCTCACGCCCGCCTCACTGGAGTCTTCACTGTCACGTCGTCCCCTTCCCCTCTATTTGGGATTGCTGTCCCCCACTCCTGTCTCCCTCTCCTCTGCTCCCTCACCCGCTGATACGTGGGGGTGAGGGCTGACTGGCGGCTTCTCCACGGGGTCTGGGCTTTCTTGCAGTGCAGGTGCCGGGCAGCATCTGGAGAGAGTGCCGGGGGCAAGCAGTGTCCTGCTCGTGGCCTAGCCCAGGATACGTGCACATGGGCTTCTCCCCTGCACATTCTGGGCTGGTGGAGTCATGGGTCCCTGTCCAGACCCAAGAGGAGGGAGCTCAGGGTCCTGACCACCACCTAGGACCAGGCCCATGGCCAGTTTCAGCAAATGGAGTCGAGCGCGTCTTAGACCCGTGGTGCTCAGTGACATGTTGACCCGCCGGCTGGGGCCCCTCAGGCCAGAGCTCCCTCTTGCTGTGACCTGCGAGATGCCTGAGCTACCGTGCCCAACTTTAGAGCCCCCCAGTCCTTCCCCACTTCTCAGCACCCCTTTTGTTTTTGAGTTTCTTGTTTGTTTGTTTACATGTGGATATCCAAATGTTCCAATATCATTGGGTGAAATGATTGTCCTTTCTCTTCTAAGTTGCTTTTGTCAAAAATTAGTGGTTATGTCTATTTCTGGATTCTATTCTGTGTCTATTTGTCCACATTATACCAATACCTCACTGTCTTAATCACTGTAGTTTTATAATCCGTCTTGAAATCAGGTCATGTTAGTGCTCCAACTTTGTGCTTTTTCAATCACTTTGCCTCTTCTAGGTCTTTTGCATTCCACATGAATCTTACAAGTAGCCTGTCAATTTCTCAAGACAAAACCAAACCAGACCCGGTGCGGACTAGGACCTGTGGTAGCTGGCAGTTGTTAAGGCTCATACTGTCTCTTCCCCTGCAGGCTGACCCAGGAGTTCCTCCTGCTTTTCCCTGGTGTGGTCCCTCCGCACTGCGTCCACTCGCTGAATCTACTTGCTCACGTTTCTTGACCCCCACACAGAGACCCCAGCCCTCTTGCATCACCCATGGAGTTTCCTGGTGGGGGAATCATCACATTCTCCACCATCCACAGAGTCTATTGGAGTTGGGTACATGGAAGAGTTTTTCCTAAGGTTTTGATATTTCCAGACAAGTTCATTACATTATGTACTAAAATTGTTAGGATGCTAGTGGGGTGAGTGCCTAATGCTGTGAGTTCCCGCCCACCCACTCATCCGTCTGCCCACCCATTTTTCACCTCCATTGATCCATCCCCCATCTTTTATCTACTTATGTATTCATCCATTTATTTTTCATCCTTTACTCATATATCCTTCCCACCCATCTTCGCATCCATCCATCTACCCCCCATTCTTCATCTGTTCACCCATCCTTCTTCACATCCATCCATCCATGCATCCACACCCCATCTTTGTCTGTTTACATATTCATCCGCTCTTATTTATCCTTAACCCATCCATCCTCCCCACCCATCCTCCCATGCATCCATCCTCCCACCCCCCCTCACCCACATCCTTCCCTCTCCCACCCACCTTCACGTTCCCCTGGCCCTCCCTTCCTGATCACACACTCTGCTGGACACTGAGGCTCAGACCTATTGTCCAGGACCTAAGTTTCTCTCTCTTTAAACAAGCAGGTTGATTGAACTGATTTTCCGGGGCCCTCCACACTCTATTTTTCTGTGATTCCTATATAAGGATAGCCAAAACTGGAAGCTGAAAGGTTTGCATTATTCCCACAAGAAGGGTGAGGAGCTGGGCCAAGTGAGGGAGGGGGTTTCATGCCCACTGTCTCAGGGACAGTCACAGATGGCCGCTTGCCCCGTTTGAGCTGAGACCCCAGGAACGCAGGTCGCCATCCCAGGGCAGGCACGGTGGGTGTGCCTAAGACCGCTCCTCTTGGCCGCAGGTGGCATTACCTGGGCATCCAGGGGTGCCCCACACTGTGCCCGGTGGGAGCCTCCAGGTGCCCCGAGGAGGCAGTGGCTGAGCACAGAGGACCCGAGAGGCACGCAGAGGGGGCCGCTCGGGCCCGAGGGGCAGGGCAGGGGTCTGGGGAAGCCTCAGGTTTATATTTTTTAATAATTTTATGTGTGTATTTGTGGCTGTGCTGGGACTTCACTGCCATGCATGGGCTTCCTCTAGTTGCAGCAAGCAGGGGCTATGTTCTAGAGGCGGCGTGAGGGCTGCTCATTGCAGTGGCTCCTCTTGCTGCTGAGCAGGGGCTCTGGGGCATGCAGGCTCGGTACTTGTGGCCCGTGGGCTCAGTACTTGTGGCCCGTGGGCTCAGTACTTGTGGCTCCTGGGCTCAGTACTTGTGGCCCGTGGGCTCGGTACTTGTGGCCCATGGGCTCGGTACTTGTGGCTCCTGGGCTCGGTACTTGTGGCCCGTGGGCTCAGTACTTGTGGCCCGTGGGCTCAGTACTTGTGGCTCCTGGGCTGTAGAGCGCAGACTCAGTACTTCTGGCCCGTGGGCTTAGTTGCTCCACTGCACGTGAGATCCTCCTGGACCAGGGATCAAATCTGTGTCTCCTGCACTGGCAGGTGGATCCTTTACCACTGAGCAACGAAACCTCAGGTTTATTTTACCCTGGGGTGGGGTCAAGGCCGGTGGGCCTAAAGCTTCTGAGCTGACTTCATCAGTGACCGGAAGCCCTGTTCCGCCACCGCACCCTCTGCCTCTGCCCATGCACACCCAGGGCTGTTTGCACCGACCCCGGTCTCCCTGGCCAGGTGGGGGGAGGGCTCCCAGCTGGAGGGAATGCTAGGGTCAGGGGCCAGGGGGAGGTAGCTGACCCCCATCCCATCCACCGTGGCTCCAGTACCTCCGGGCTCCTGGGGCTCACCTGCCCCCCAGCAGCCTGGGCCCACTTGTGACACTGTACACTCTGGAGTTAATAACAGAGGCTTTTTATCTTTTCCGCAGTTTTCTTGTTGCTCTGTGGCCTCTGCCCATTGAATTGGGGCCCCGGCTGCCTCAGGGGGGAGGCAGACACAACCAAGAACAAGGAAATCAATTGACTTTCTGGATGAATTTTTAAAAACGCACAGCAGAGGCAATATTCTGAATGCGCAGAGGATTTCTTTTGCAAGAGCAGGGCTTTTCGAGAAAGGAAGCGTTTTTGAGTGAGAACACAGACTTTATTGCATAAGCCACAGATGGGGGAAACTGTGTGAGGGCTTTTTCCTGCTGAAAGGGGCAATAACTGGACAGGGGAAGGCAGAGAAGGGAGGCCCGAGCCCCCCTCCCGGCCCCTGCCTCGGTGAAGCCACGTGGAGGCGGCTGGTGGGAAACTGGGTGAGTCTGGGGACTCTCAGGGCGTGAGGCCTGTGCTTGCTTGCGCCTTCATGGGGAAGCTCCTGCCTGACGCCGTCACGGGGGGCTCCCGGGCTGGGGGAGGTCCCGTCCACTACTTGGGCAAAGATGCGTATTGTTATTACTGTCATTTTTGGTTCACAAAACAAATGTGTTGTGTATTTTCTATCTCTTGCTGCATAACAAATCCCCCAGATTTAGTGAAGGACAAGGACACATGTCACCTCCATAATTTCAGGAGTGTCATCTGGGGGTCAGTCAGCTGGGTGGGCCCAGCTCAGGGGCTCTCCCGGGGCTGCAGCTGGAGGCTTGACCGGGGCCGGAGCGCCCGTCCATGCGGCTCAGGGTCAGTGCTGGCTGGTGGCTGGGGCTTCGGGTCCTCCCACGCGGCCCCTGCGCTGGCTGTTGTGTGTCCCCGCGGGCCAGCGGCTTGCCTCCTAAAACCAGTGACCCGGGAGGGTGAGGGGGGACGTCCAACGCCTCCTGGTCCATTCAGCGCAGGAAGAGACAGCAGCGGGCGTGGGTACCGGGAGGGGCGCGTCCTCCGAGGCTGCGGCGTGTGAAGGCCTCCTGGATTCCAAAGCGCTCCGCACACACGCACAGTAGCTCGTAGCCCCTCCCTGAGATGTTCCGGTTTTCCTGCGAAGGGACTGGGGTGGGGGGGCGGCTTTGAGAGTCTGGTCTTGCTGGGCCCCGAGCTGGGTCTCCAGAGTTCATGGGGCCAAGGAAGTCATCTTGGAGGAGCGGTCCAACCGCAGCCCCGAAGAGTAAGGTCGCAGGTCGGAAGGAGGGGTCGGGTGTGGGTCAGCGAGGAGCAGAGAGGGCAGAGT